CCCCTATTTTAGATGATGGAGGATGTCATTTCAAATTCCTCTTCTTTTCTTGGCCCCTGAGATTTTCATAAAATAGATTTGAATAGCTAAAAAAGCCCTATATTAAATGTCGAACTGAACACGTCATCTAAGTCGTCCATTCTAATGAGCCCAAGACAGTCAGTTTTGCACCATTCAAAATCGGTTTTTCTAAGGCTGAAATGGATGTAAATGGTTGTATGCCTGTGGGAATATAAACTTTGTAAGGTTCTTGTTTGCCTGTGGGAATATAGACTTTGTAAGGTTGAATAAGACTTTTAAGTATCTTGAAGGTGGGAAGGTGCTTGAATGACTTTGTATCATCTAGCACATAAAGCAAGAAATGGACTTAAAAATTCCATATGAAATTTTTTTTATATACTATAAGACAAGCCATGATTTATCGGATGGGATATAGGGCAGCCAAGAAACAATATATTCGTAGAATAAGTGTAGCTGAAATAAAGATGTTGAGATGGATGAATAACAGAACAAGAAAAGATAAACTTCGAAATGAATATATCCAATGGAACTTAATAATGGCCCCAATAAGACAAGTGGATTTAAGTCGACCATGTATAGCTTTGACCAAGAAACTACCAAGTAATAAGGCGATTTAGTTCAAGTAAAAAGCTCTAAAATAACAAATGGAAAGTCAAAAAGGATATGAATGGACGTAGTGAGAAGAGATAAAGTGACTTTTTATCTGAAGGTATAACTCTTGATAGAGTAGCATGGTGGAACCAAATTCGTGTAGCTAACTCCAAATGATTGGGATAAAGCTTAGATGATAATGAAATAAATTATATGAAATTTTTGCATCAAGTCAAGAAGAATCAAAGGCTGCCAAGATCACAAAATTGTAGGGGCATAAGCAAACATTACAAAAAAAAGAAAAATTGCGAAAAGAGAGGGAAATAATTCGCTGATCACCCTGTATTAGAAGAATATACACTACACGGCATAATCTTGACATGAAATATCAAATTTAAAAATAAAATTAGGACTAAAGAAAAAGGAGAAGAATTACACTGTTATAATTCTATGAAGGATAAGGTTAATACTGGGCCTAGGCTCCACGATAAAAACTAAAGGACAATGGTTTGATAGGGCTGCAGCCCTATCAAAATAAGTAAACCTCACCTCAATTCATCAAAAATTGCAATTCGTGTTGAAAAACCTTTAAATCATCTCAGCTTGAATATTATAGTTAGTACAAAAAAAATAGGATTTCAAATTCTAAAAATAATGTATCTTGCAAAAAATCATCTAGACCATCTATTTCATCCTAAAAATAAGTGTTCACACATTTACAAGATCTGTGCCCTTTTTTTAGTTTCAAATTTTATTGTCGATGTTGGAAATTAATTTTAGAGCCATCATAAATATTTCCGATGTCGAAAGTACTTTTCGGATGAGGAGGCTTTGAAGTTTTCATAAAGCCTAGGCCTTATGGAAACTTCATCCACAACTAAACCCACAACTCAAAACCACAGCGGTGTCAAAACCCCATATGGTAGCTTGAAGATCTATTTCCTCATGTGATTAAAAAGCTTTGAGCAAAGAATGCCTATTGGTGTAAAAAATATGGTAGCTTGAAGATCTATTTCCTCATGAGATTAAAAAGCTTTGAAGCTTAAGAAATAGTGAGCATCTACTAGATCTTCGAATACTTAAAAATAAATGGTCCACATAATATGTCGCAAGAAACATCATTTGTAAAGCTTGATATATACTTTCATCATACTCATAATGGTCTAGTAGTTTGACCAGTGGCCAAATCGGTTTTGACTGCACCGAAACGTCATTATTTTGGAGG